AATGTAGCAGAATGCAGCGGCAAGTAAGAAATACAGGAATAAAAGAACTAACAGTAGAACCATGCCAAAAGTAATAATCGCATAGCAATTGAGCTGTGTGAAGAAGGCTGGAGCTGTTATAATGAGGCAAATGGTCCTCGACAGCCGCGTGCGGCAGATCGACTACACAAAACCGTTCTACTGCCCGTCTCCCAGTTGGTCGTGTTCGATTCGCCTTCTCAAAAATGCGTCAGACTTGTCTTCTTTACTCAGCGGTCGCATGGTGACACGGATGGTCCATAGATCAAATTCCGGATGATGTCTGTTTCATACGAATTTTTTCCCGAACCCCGTTCACAACTGCCAGTGCTCTGACATTGTTTGTACGGTACCTTTGCTACATTCCTAGTAATCAGTACAGTTTTGTAGTAACAATGGGGGTTCATTTGAAATCATGTCATACCCTTTGGACTTCTTTCGCCTTTTCGAGTCTCCCATCATTGCGATTATTGCCCTGCAAATGTGTCCCATAAGATAGGTATCGTTTTCTTTTCGTTCATCGGAACTACTTTGGCCGGATTGGAATGGATGCATTGAACTGGAAACGTAAAATCACTTTCAAAGGTCGCCGCGTTGACTGGGTGGGCTGTGTCTTGGGGTGAAATGAAGACAGTGATGGATTGAACGTGAACTGAGCGGAAGATTATGACTGACGGAAATGGACGGACTTCACGGTTCATCGAGGCTGAGCTGACTGGATTTTTCAATTATTCCAACCATTCATCGTCACAGTTCCATTTCTGGCTGTTTCAACTTCGAGATTTCACTTTGGAGGCAGTTACTACGATCGAACTAGGTTGTCAAGTAACTTACAAAGGGACAACGTGGACGTAGGTTATGAAAGTGCAAAAGGGCAGTGAAATTACGGCAGAATAAGGATCATTCTTAAAAAACAAACCAAAGAAATCGGTGGAGCCATCATGCTTGGCATGAAGCCAAAATCGCATTTGGATTTAGGTCATGCGGGCCTTTGCGGACAGTACATCATTCTGCTCTGTTTATTCAATTTGACATTGCATCGGGGGGAACAGACGGAAACTTTTTCAACTTCCGCTCCTGTCTCCACCATGATACAGCAAGTCACAGACAGGAGGAGTGCATTTTCGTTGGGAGCCAGAGTTGGGAGGAACTACCGGACAAGCTTTCAAGAGTATTTTGGGAATGGGAATGCCAGGGCAATAATCAGGCTTTTTCCGAAAAATTTGAATGAAAAATGCTATCCCTGGAATCCCTCTAGCGAACACGATCCCCTGGATCACTCTAGCTCGCGACGAGGACGAATGGGAGGTTGCTAGTGCCCGCCAGAAAAAATCAATGATCGACGGGACGACGGAGGTGGTTCAGGTGCTGTCTGAGGGATCAAAAGTAATATCCTGTACTTACTAGTATGTTCATTGGTGAATCCACTCTCTTCTGTATCCATTTAGATGAACAGAATGGTGCGTAATATTAGTGAAAATTAAAAACTGGTACGCCAGTGGGATTTTGAGAACAAAATAGAGAAAGCGACAACTGGGTCCACGATGCGAACATGTGTGATAAGGAAAAATTGTAAAATTTTAATCTTGACTAAAGCATCTTCTAGTTCTCCCTATGCTAATTCCGCGCCTTTGTAGAAACGTTTCCCTTTCAGTATCCAAAGGCGTTATGAAAAAGATGACCGATTTTCATTCCTTTCACACGTCCTTCTTCAAAAGGCAAAAAAAAAACGGTTTCAAAAATGCGTCCCAGGAATTGGTTGAAAGGGCGTTCCCGTCTGTGTTACATTACCTTGCGTAGCTTCGACCCGTAAGTTCTATCTGGAAGTGAATTCGCCGCGGAAGTCTCTGGTCCCCGGGGGCTTTTTGAAGGGTTCCTTGAATATTGGTTTCTGCTGATTGTGGAGGTGCCAAGGGGGAACGTGAAAAGGTGACTCGGTCTTTTCAGGTTGGGACATTTAACGAGAGGGCGAGTTTTCCGATCAAAAGGTACAGTACTACCAGATGAGAGCCATAAGGCATTCAACGGACGTGAAATCTGAACTCGGGTGAGTATGAATGCCTTAGAAGGTACGACTAGTGTTTACAATTTATCTCGTATGCGTAGATTCCCTTTGACCAAAACTGGCCCGAAATTCTTGCCACACTTTTGTCCCTGTTCGGTTCGTTTAGGCGATATCGGTTACGCGATTCGATCCATGGACTGCGCGTGTCGTAGCCGGGCCACTTGCAACTGCCCCATATGTCCAAAGAAGCAATGTTGACACTTTAATTTCATTTTTACTGGTTGTTGATTGAGGCGTTTTTAAAATCAACTTGTTCAGCTCTCCGATACAGTTCTGATAGTCAAAAGAGCTGAAAACGAAAACGAGAATCACCTTGGTCTTCGTTTCAGGAATCACCTTGGTCTTCGTTTCAGCGTCACCGTCAAGTTTCTGAAGGACCGCATTATCTAAAACAATCGAAGAAAATATTTTAAAATGAAAAATATTGATCGCGACTTTTTTGAGAAGATCGTCAGAAGGATTTCCGAACGACATCACATTAACCCGTATTGAATTGTCGCGTGAGAAACCCATGAACCAACCATGAGTGACATAAATGGAAGGCCATCCAAAAATAACAACAGTAACTGTAGAAACGAAAGTAACAAAATGGTAATGGAAGTACCAGTTACGGTATTGTCATCAGTGCAAGTCATCCGTCGTATGGATACAGCGTAGACTTTCCTGAAAACAAAATTATTTCAGTATCCAAACAATTGAAGTCCACCCTCCTCCAACCCCTCCCACACCCTCCTCCTACTCCCTTCAAACCTACAACCTTCTTGAAGTGGGCATAAGTCGGACGGAACAAACCTGCCATTCTTGATCCCCTCGGTTTTGATGTCGGCAATGTAGTCGAAACCCTCGAGAGCATCACCATTCATCACTTCGCCACCAACTACCAGTTGACCCTAGAAACTTAAGAACTGGCTTTTTACCAAGTGGTAACGAAGGCAAACCAGACTGTAGCTCTTACATTTGTCACCATAGCCACCCCTCGATCTTCAGATTCAAGTAGTGGAGCGTACGAGCAACATCGGACCTTCAAAAAAGGAGAGGAATAGATCATGCTCTTAGAGGTTTCTGGTACAGGTTTTACCTGTAAGTCTGAGCCTTGTGATATGCCCTGAGGGGCGATTCCACCTATCCATTGTCCCTCTTCACATCCATTTTTGGAATAGGTCTCTTGACATTTCTAAACCACAAAACCTGCACTTTAAAGAATATCAGGTTACGTGATATCCCTTTCTTACCGCCACTCGGGCTACCATCCCTTGGTCTCGGTACGGTGAACGATCCGCTTGATCAGAATGTCTCAAATAACCATCTTCTTTGCCATTAATCCTGAAGTACAAGGCACATTTCGATTTTGTAGTCCTACCGGTAATGGTACAAACTTGTAGAACATAGCCGTCTCATCAGCTCGGGTGCCATTAGCGTTCCAACCGAAACAATTCGGCCGAGCACAACCAAGAACTGGTAAGCCGCTGTGAAGAACCTGGAAATATCAGATATCGAGTTACATTTCCGTTTTCAGTAACTTGGGACCATCACTCTGAGACAGAGCTCTAGGACAATCCCTAGACAGAATTTTCATTGTTCTTCCTACCTAAAAACGAAAGAAATGGGTTGTTAGATCATCCTCAAGCATTCGTATCGGCCAGCCTATACTACAACGCGAGGGGGACGAGACATTACTGGCGCGCATTTGAGGAAATCGATAAACAGTGGGGCAAGTGGCGTTGCAGTTCGATTACTATGCCACATAAGTGGTTATAGTCATATATACATATATAAATGCATAATTTGTATGACTTCTGGTATGGTAATCAAATATTTATGCGGCTTTGGTATTTTGCTCCTTATGTGGACAGAAGAAAACCGAGGTAGGCGAACTTGTAACTTAAACTGTCTTTGAAGGTTTTTGGATGAGTTCATTGGAACTCATATCAATCGCTACAGTATTTTACCACAATTTACCGCACATTACAGTAACTACTGAGCATCCTTTGGCAGAAAACTCGCAAAACCTATGATGAGGAAGTGAAAGTGAAGCATAAGTGAAAGTTGAATGGTACTGCTTAACAGGTAAAAGACACAAACCTGAAAAGTAAATGGAATAGCAGATTGGCCGCAGTACGAGGCTTGAGTGTACTGTACCACCAAGTAAATTGAGAAAATATAGCAAAAGATTCGTCGTATCATCTGTAAGGATTGGATTTGAATCGTCGACATTGCGAACAGTTTTTGAAACCGTAATGGAATCTGGTCAGGGAAATCGGAGTAGATCGCTATCGTCAATACGAATTACATATTCTAAGCTTAAACTGGTAGTGTGAAGTCATGTACGTCATCAGCTTAGTTGGATATCCCCATGATGACCTCGGTTCGGTCCACGTAAGATAAGCGCGGGGATGCGAAACGAAATCGAAGGCCGAATGAAAGTTTGAATCAGCTGGCTGGGGGAAAACGTGACAGATTGCGGTCGGGTAGACTTTTAGTGAATGACGACGACGACGACGACGATGACGACGTGTGGACGATCGACTGAGGGGTTTTCGGCGATTGACTGAAAGCGAATCGCCTACAGGAATAGAGGTCAACTTCCACATCAGTGATATCGTCGTCGTGACTCGGCCTCGATCGCTGCGGCGGCTACCCCGCGGATTCCGCTCGCACTTTCAATTTCTCCAACTGATTTGAATCAACCCCTTGGATTTGGATTTTTGGCTTGGATTGGATACATTGAACGTTGGAAAACTAAATATCTCTAGATGCAAGGGAGCACCGATACCCAGAAGGGCCTAAAGGGAAAGTCTCGAACACCCCATGCACCCGACCATCAGTAGAATTGCAGAATCACTTCTTGGCTCATTTGATCAGCACAAAGGCATGTGAGGAACTCCCGAAAAGGCAAGCGTTTTTCTCCCTTCAGAAACCTCAAGTTAGTCAAAGATTGGATCCATTTCCTTCTCTTTGGGGTATCAGATCTGGAGACCGCAGAAGCATGCAGCTCTCTCCCTCCCACTACGATTGTCGCTTCTGCATGGCCGAGATCATCCAATTGCGCTAGATTAATTCCCTGAGTCTCGTTCATGGCGCATTCCACTGAAATGCTATAAGTAAAGGACGGATATTAGCCTTTACTCTGTGGATGCATTTGTAAAAAAATCGGAACTTCCAAAGGAGAAGTAATTGTGAGAATGGTGCCTCTTTGCCGGCAAAGCCGGAATCCGTACCAAGTTAAAAACTCAGAGCGTCAGTCAATTCGCATATCTAGCCTACTTAAAAGTTTGGTGACAGAATTGCCTCAATTTAAAGGACTGAAGTAGTCGAGAAAAAGGATTGACAGGACAGTAGAGCCGAATGATGGCCTTTAAGGTGAAATCCTTGATCCTACTTCCATTTAACAAGTAGTATTTGAGATGATTGAGTAAGAATTTCATGTAAGATAGGAAAATCGAACATTTCCTCTTCCATGTCATAGTTTTGGAGTCATTCAGGTCTCTCTCTGTCCCCACAGTCTTTTTAACTGTCCATTTATTAGGCGGCAGGTTGTCCATCGCCTGTTCTCCTGGCCCACTGTATGGGGTTGGAAAAAGTTGGCATATCTTCATCAGCGCAGAGACTTCCTCAGTCAATGGACAAATAGCGGTTTCATTACGGAGCTACTTATCCGGTTTTCCCGGGAAGAGGGTTTTAGTTCTGTCTTGTTTCTTCTTTCAGAAGTTAATTAATTTGCGGCTGTAAGCTGGAAAACGAGTTAACAGAGAAAAGAGGCCTCTCTGAGAAGTTCGCTCACTTTTGAGCTCCCACACCATCTTCTGAATCCTGTAAAAAGTGACTTCATCAGTCGGGTTAGTAAAAACAGTTCAATTTCTGAGCTACATTATCCATCTTTACCAGTAAAAGAGAGCAGTTTAGGGTTCCGTCTTGTTGCTTCTTTCAGAAATTACTTAAATTGAGCTGAGGTGAGCTGAAAAACGAGTTATCAGACGAAGGGAGCCACTCTAAGACGATCGCTCCCTTCTCAGCTTTCCCCTCTTACAAATCCTGTAACAATGTGGATGTCGAACAATGCGGTTTCGGGACTCCGCTGTTTTTCGTGCGGTCTTGACCGATCGCTCGCAACATCTGGACTCGGAAGTCATTAACTAGTGAATCTTTGAACTGCCGACCTGCTTCATTTTTTTCTCGGTTCCGGACCTCCCTAATTACAAAGTACAATCGACTTCTCTTATTTGCCTCCCTCACAGTGAGATTTCTGAGCCATGCCATTCAGGGCTTGTCTGGATGAAATATTATATATGGCTCTTGTGAAGGGTGAGTCATCAAGCTTGAGTCATCAAGGTTTCAACTGATCTCTTAACCAAAATGATGAGGTAGGCGGACCCAACTACTGAAAACCATAAAGTTATGCTTAAGACTAGCTGTTGATGCCCAGCTTAATCGTGTGGCGACCAGCAAGGAAGTTCGAGACCTATGGTTTTTCAACTTTCGGAGGGTTGTTGTGTAAAGTAAAAACGGCTCTCGTACGTGCCTCAGAGACTGCTTCAATCTCATGAGGGGGTGGTGCACTAGGAACGAAACTGTCGCGTCGCGAAGAGAGAGATGCCGCGCGCGAGGAAAATGCAGCAGCAAGTAGGGAATTCAGGGATAAAAGAACTAGCAGTAGAATGCCATAATTAATCGGTTAGCAAATGAGCTGTATGAAGAACGCTAGAACTGTTACAGCGAGGCAAATGGTCCGCGACAGCCGAGTGCGGCGTATCGACTACACAAAAGCGTTCCCACTGCCCGTCTCCCATCTCATGAGGTGTCTGGAAGCTCCCCGAGATTCCGTGTTCAGGCGCGATGCACGAATATTCGAGCCAGTGTTTCGCGTACGCCTGTACACATCTCCGATATCAAATTGCTGGCCGTAGTGACACATTGGGAGCCCTAATTGTATACTAGTGAGACGAAACTCCCGAACCTGGAGTTCGTGGGGAAGCGCTTTTGAAGATACAGTAACGGAGCACCTATACGAATACCATACAATACCTAGGAGCGATTTCCCGTTCCATGTAACTGAACCAGCTCTGGTTCACTTGCATTCACTCCACGTAGTGGTCAACGAAAGCCTCACATTGAACTGGTTTTTCGTCAGGCTCGGTTCCTCTTCCAAGAGCACCCGACTCTGCTCCGGGAGATTTTGCAATTTCCAGCGTCCCTGAAAGTGCTATCCAAATCTCTGAGCAAGAGCAAATCACTAAGAACCACATTTGAACAGTGCTGATGGTGATAAATATAGATGAATTCGCACTCGAGAGCTGCAGCAATCGAAAGTTGAGAGGATCCATTGTTGAGCAGCAAAAAATAAACTTCAAACTAGCTTGTCTCCTCGCTTTTCCTAGGTGTTTTTGAAACTTGTGGACATCATTATCCCAAAAATGCAAGGGCGAATCGCTGCAAGCTGCTCATCCAGGTAAGTTTCGCTTTTTCGAGAAGCATAACGGCGTGCTTCCAACTTTTTTACTATCAATTCAAAGCAAGCTATGCCTGTTTCAATATGCTCACGTGAAGTGTGAGCCCAAGCGACTTTGGACTTCCTTAAATAGCCTGTACCCCTAATTCGGCAGTCCTCTATTCTCAGCCCCGAAAGATGAATATTTGAAGAGGTCGGGCCCTTTTGAAAAACCATTGGTTCTCGCACAACTACGTATATAATGTTTTTTCTTTTGGCATTTATCTAGCCTGTCTGAGCATGCACCCCATCG